CTCTGCTGCAGCCAGAGTTCTGATGAAAATGAAAAAGAGAGATCATATCTCTCCTATCCTGGCTTCTCTTCATTGGCTTCCTGTTAAATCCAGAATAGAATTTAAAATCCTCCTTCTCACATATAAAGCCTTAAATGGCCAAGCTCCATCTGATATCAGAGATCTGATTGTTCCTGATGTTCCTAACAGAGCACTTCGCTCTCAATCTGCAGGTTTACTAGTGGTTCCTAGAATTTCTAAAAGTAGAATGGGAGGCAGATCTTTTAGTTCTCAGGCTCCTCTCCTGTGGAACCAACTACCAGTTTTAGTCCGTGAGGCAGACACCCTGTCTACTTTTAAGGCTAGGCTTAAAACTTTCCTTTTTGATAAAGCTTATAGTTAGAGTGGCTCAGGTTATCCTGATCTATCTCTATAGTTATGCTGCTATAGGCTTAGACTTTTGGAGGACATAGGGACCCCCATTTCATCATTCTGCTTCATTCTCTCTCTGTTCTCCTATTCTGCAGAATCTGTTAGTTCAATCTCTAACCTTCTGCTCTCTCTGCTTTTCCTCAGAGTAGCTTTGCCTCGTCTGTTCCTGTTTGGCTGTGACGCCATCCTGGAAAAAAATATCAGCTGTGCTGCTGCCATCAACACCTTTGTTTCTAGATGTTGGAGCTTGGCCTGTTTTCCAGTGTAGTCCTGTTTCTCTGACTGTGACGAACTGGATGTGCTCTCTTCATCCTCTGACATGGGAGCTGGCTCGGAGCTCGTCTGCCTGGCTGTGTGTTTCCTGGACGGGGCCGCCTGTGAAGCTGGTTGACAGTTGCCTTTTGTATCTATGCTTCTTTTTCTATGTCTGCTTCTGTCTCCTTGAACCCCAGTATTTTATTACACCTCTTCCCAGAATCCCTTTCTTCCCTGAAATGAGGAATGTGGAGCATCATGTGAAGTTCTACTTTAGCATCAGTTTGACAAATCAGGAAATCTTTTAGCAGCAGCATCAAACTGGGCAGGATGTCAAAGTGGACTCTGGTTGCTGATTGGTGGAGCTGGTCGGCTGGTCGTCATCTGATGGGCGGAGCTCCAAGCTTTCGCTCTGTAATGGGTCGTTGAATGAGGACTTAATTCTTGTAATTTTACAACTTTATTCTCGAAATTTAGTTTTTTTAACTCTAGGCTGGCCCTGATAATCGGTCATAGAAAGTTTGTTCCTTTTCGTTCAGCTAAAAGTGTGACCACATAAAAAACAACCTCTACTAACCCTGTTAACCTGCTTTTAGCAGAAGCTGCTGCGGAGAGTAAAAGCCAGACTTCTATGGTGCAGCAGATTTCCCCTCAGTGATGGAGAGGTCTGTTAGCTGTCTGCGCTTACAGGTTCAGCTCTGTCCAGTCAACACTTTCAGGATGATTAAACCATGCTGGCACACGGCTGATAATTATCTGGAGAAGCTCCTTTTCTGAACAGAAGTCAGTCTTTTTAAGGAGAAGTGAACTTTGCATTTGCACATTAGTTTAATGCTCATTTAGCTTCTTCTCTCTGTGCCGCTGAGATGCTAGCATACCTGAGAAAGAGATTATGTAGCACCGCGTTATATCTCTGATATTAGACCTTCCAAAGACTGAGATTTAACAGGAGCTAAAGGTGACTGTGAACACATCATATGAGATAGATTCTAACACATAGACTGAGGATACAAGAAGAACAATGTCAAGACAAATGGGAAAAATGGAGAAACATCACATTAGTGATACATGACTAATTTTGGTTATGATGGGTGCCATCATAACCAAAATTATGTTATACTTGTTTTATTTCTTTTGTATTTTCTTGTTTCTCTCTAAATATTGTTTTATTTTTCATCTTGACTATTTTCTAAAAAGTTCAATAAAATAAAGTAAAAAAAACAAAAGAGCTAAAGGTGACATAAAGAAGAAGTAAATTTAGAGGTTATTGGCCCAAAGGATCCCGTCCTCCAAAGGATCCCGTCCTCCAAAGGATCCCGTCCCCCAAAGGATCCCGTCCTGCAAAGGATCCCGTCCTGCAAAGGGTCCCGTCCCCCAAAGGATCCCGTCCTCCAAAGGATCCCGTCCTGCAAAGGATCCTGTCCCCCAAAGGATCCCGTCCCCCAAAAGATCCTGTCCTCCAAAGGATCCCGTCCTCCAAAGGATCCCGTCCCCCAAAGGATCCCGTCCTCCAAAGGATCCTGTCCCCCAAAGGATCCCGTCCCCCAAAGGATCCCGTCCTCCAAAGGATCCCGTCCCCCAAAGGATCCCGTCCTCCAAAGGATCCTGTCCTGGAAAGGATCCTGTCCCCAAAAGGATCCCGTCCCCCAAAGGATCCCGTCCTCCAAAGGATCCCGTCCCCCAAAGGATCCTGTCCCCCAAAGGATCCCGTCCTCCAAAGGATCCCGTCCTGGAAAGGATCCCGTCCCCCAAAGGATCCCGTCCCCCAAAGGATCCTGTCCCCCAAAGGATCCCGTCCCCCAAAGGATCCTGTCCCCCAAAGGATCCCGTCCCCCAAAGGATCCCATCCCCCAAAGGATCCCGTCCCCCAAAGGATCCCGTCCTCCAAAGGATCCCATCCCCCAAAGGATCCCGTCCCCCAAAGGATCCCGTCCTCCAAAGGATCCTGTCCCCAAAGGATCCCGTCCCCCAAAGGTTCCCGTCCTCCAAAGGATCCCGTCCCCCAAAGGATCCCGTCCCCCAAAGGCTGATGTCAGCATAAACTGTGGGATCTACAGGTCCTTAAAGAGTCTGAAATGAGCTGTGAGCATATTTCAGCTCTGACTGAGTGAGCGTGTTCCCTCAGGTCTGCTGATGGAGGACTGGGAATATTTATGTGCAGAGGCGTTTGCTCGCTCCTAATGTCCACACTGCTTAGAAAGACACTTCTTGGTGGTTTGTTAACAGCAGGCTGCACTGCCAGAGGAAGCATTAAGGTCTTCGTCATGTCATGGTGTCCTGTCCGATCAGCGCTGGCAGTCCTCGCTAGTGCACACTGGGTCCCGTTGATCAGATAAAAGGAAACAGAACAACCAGCAGAAGAAATCATGATATTGGAGAATGTGTCAGTTTGGGATAAACGGTCAGCACCATGGACAGTGTTTAACAGCACCAGCCTGGACAGCTTTCCTGACGGAGGCCAATAACAGCAGGTCTATGGAAACAAAAGCACTTCTTCACAGGAAGGTCTGGTCCAGGAAGCCTCCTCAGGAAACCTTTTCCATCATTGTTTGGGACATCATCATTAGAAGGAATGAATAGAATTAGGTTTCAAATTATAAATCTGCTGGAAGTGTAAAAAAATAAAATCTAGTAGTTTTTCTACATCTTCCATGGGAGTGTGCTTTGGTCAAACCTTTCTGGGACAGAATACTTAAACTCCTAGAGACATAGATAAACGTAACTCTCTATGTCCTCGCCTATGGGAGGACGTCTATGTTTGTTCTTGGAGACAGAACAGCAATATCCCGGCTCAGTGTTGATGGTTAGACTAACCTCAGCTGCATAAATATACTGAGACATTGCAGGCTCCCGAACACCCTGCATCCCAGCAATGGAAAGGGTTAACGACTGAAACTGTGTCATATGAGGTCATGCTGACTAGATTAGACAATTGGGATATTTTTTAAAGTGTATCTGACTTCTCATTAGTGGCTTCATTATAAGACTGGCAGGAATGAGAACATTACAGTTTTCCACCTTGTTATTCTAATATTTGTTAGGATATGTGTGCGTATTAGACGCATATATTCAATATGATGTTACAATTTACTTTCCCTTTTTTCCCTTCATCATCCAGGAGCCCCTTTTTTTTACTTTCATTCTCTGAGCGTGTGTTATAAGCTTTTATTTTCTGCATATTATACCATTTAAATTTGTAGCGGATTTGTTTGATTGTTTAAATAAAAAAACTTTAATTATAACAGAAAAAGATTTAAAATATTAGATTAACAGAGAAGAACAGTTTAAAAGTATTTAATGTTTACAGAGTTTGTTCTTCCCTTTCATGTCAAACTGGTAAAGATTTCAGAATAAATGTTCTCTGAAGTTATTGACAATGTTTAAAGTGGTGAAATTAGGAAAGAAGGAATGATTATGGAGATTTTCAGACTGCATAGGAACCCATCATCAATTCAAAATAGACGTATACCAAAAACCAGTCAAACGTATACTAAGTTACCACACCAGTATATTTATATGAATGCCAACAACAAAAAATAATTTCCTGAACAGCTTTACATTTTGCACATAAATCTTTCCTTTCTGAGGCTATGAAGGTAAACCTGTATTTTCCATGGTCCTATGAATCTATTGGTCAGCATTATATTTTTAATATATAAAAACTATTTATTTTCTGAGAATGTGTTTATTTATGAGCAACTATGCAGATTAACAAACATCTAGAAAACGCAAAAAAGTAGACTATATTCTATTATTTTCTATGTAATTCCCAGATTGTTCATTCTTCTTTGTCTTTTCTAAAAAGTGCTTTAAATCAGTCTAGCTGTCTTTATCCCTGCTGGGCACATCCTGATGTTTGAAAAAGGAGGAAGGGAATAAATGGCAGATGATGGGCGGGGGGTGGGGTTGGTATGTGATGTGTGGTGGGGTCGGAGGGGGTGGGGGTTCAAAAAGCATCTCCCTGATATGAGTTTTTGGAACTTAGGATGTCTGAGGGCCCCCTAGCTGTCTTTGCCTAGGGCCCCACATTTCCTAAATCCGCCCCTGCTTACATGAGTGCAGCGCTTTGCTTTGCTACTCTACCTTCCTCTGAACTTTATAAAATGAAAAGTTCAGATGAATAAATAAAGTGACATGAGCTATAAATCTACGCATTACCAGGATATGTTTCGTTGTAACCTACATGAAGGAAAATATTCACAAAATAGCAAGTTTTGTTTATATAACTTGTTTTTAGGGCGATGCCTGTTTCCCTGACCAATATGGCGGCGGCTTTACAAATCATTTACACAGAGCCCCGGCAGCAGCTCGTACGCGCCTTCCGGTTGGATCACGTGACCCATTCAGAGTGGGAGGGAAAAGATGGCGGCCAATGTCAGCCTCCTAAACATGGCTGTGTTCAGCGGTAGTTCCCGCGGTCTGTGGCCGCCGGTGAAGCGCCTCCAGGGAGGCCTGCTGCTGCTCCTGGCCGCCGGCCTTCTCAGCCAGCGGGTCCGGGCGGATGAGCAGGAGTTCATGGAGGACTTTCTGAAGCGGGAATATTCCCTGGTGAAGCCGTACCGAGGTGAGGTCTGCTGGCTGCCATCAGAGGGACTTTGATCTGGGATCAACCAGGAGCCGCAGTCACCCGGAACCGGAACCAGAACCGGAACCGGTGGTCAGGGCTCCTGGCTGCTTATGTGAACTTTATTCATTTAGGTTTATTTCACAGTTTTTCTAAAACAGTCAGTAAATAAAAACTAGACCCAATCAATCCATCAGGCTGATGATCATAGATTGGTTTATAGAGCTGCAGCTCTGATTGAGAAGATCTAGATGAAAGCTTTCATTTAACTGATTAATTAATTAGGAGCTGATCAGTTTCCCTCAGATCACAGCTTCCCTTCATCTACTGACAAAGTTCTAACAAAAACATTCATTTTATTTCTAAATGTTAATGAACTCAAAGTATGTTTGGATTAATTGGTCATTTGTTAATTAATGAGATCCTGAGATGATGGGTGGCATCTGTTCTGGTATTTCTGGAGGTTTTACTAAATGATCTTTGAAATGTTTGAATTTAACTTTTTATTTCTGAAGCAGATATTTTCCACCTTAAAAACAGAAAATAGCAGAATAGACTCTGCATGTCTGTTCTTATTAAACCTGAGATTCTAGATCTTAGTTTGTGGCTTTCATGGTTTAAATTATCCTGTTTTCCCACATTCAATCTGTAGATCTTCAGGATATAGATTGATCAGGCGGTCGATCTTGTGGATATAGATTGATCAGCCGGTAGATCTTCATGATATAGATTGGTCCGTCCAGCCGGTAGATCTTGAGGATATAGATTGATCAGCCGGTTGATCTTGTGGATATAGATTGATCAGCCGGTAGATCTTAAGGATATAGATTGTTCAGTCCAGCCTGTAGATCTTCAGGATATAGATTGTTCAGTCCAGCCGGTAGATCTTCAGGATATAGATTGTTCAGTCCAGCCGGTAGATCTTCAGGATATAGATTGTTCAGTCCAGCCGGTAGATCTTCAGGATATAGATTGTTCAGTCCAGCCGGTAGATCTTCAGGATATAGAATGTTCAGTCCAGCCGGTAGATCTTCAGGATATAGATTGTTCAGTCCAGCCCGTAGATCTTGAGGATATAGATTGTTCAGTCCAGCCCGTAGATCTTGAGGATACAGATTGTTCAGTCTAGCCCGTAGATCTTCAGGATATAGATTGTTCAGTCCAGCCCGTAGATCTTGAGGATACAGATTGTTCTGTCCAGCCGATAGATCTTAAGGATATAGATTGTTCAGTATAGCCTTTAGATCTTCAGGATATAGATTGTTCAGTCCAGCCGGTAGATCTTAAGGATATAGATTGTTCAGTATAGCCTTTAGATCTCCAGGATATAGATTGTTCAGTCCCGCAGGTAGATCTTCAGGATATAGATTGTTCAGTCCAGCCGGTAGATCTCCAGGATATAGATTGTTCAGTCCCGCCGGTAGATCTTCAGGATATAGATTGTTCAGTCCCGCCGGTAGATCTTCAGGATATAGATTGTTCAGTCCCGCCGGTAGATCTTCAGGATATGGATTGTTCAGTCCAGCCGGTAGATCTCCAGGATATAGATTGTTCAGTCCTGCAGGTAGATCTTCAGGATATAGATTGTTCTGTCCAGCCGGTAGATCTTCAGGATATAGATTGTTCAGTCCAGCCGGTAGATCTTCAGGATATAGATTGTTCAGTCCAGCCGGTAGATCTTCAGGATATAGATTGTTCTGTCCAGCCGGTAGATCTTCAGGATATAGATTGTTCAGTCCCGTCTGTGGACTGAGTGATTCCTTAGAAAGAGGCAGAGAGTTTCCTGAACCGTTTTCTCCTGGTTTCTGCAGGACTTGGCTTCTCTAGCTCCTCCCAGTGGGATCTGATGGGAACCGCCATGGTGACGCCCGACCACGTCCGACTGACCCCTGACCTGCAGAGCAGACAGGGAGCTGTGTGGAGTCGCATCGTAAGTGTTGAGCTGAGGCTCTAACTTAATCGGTAGATCTGGTTGATCGGTATATCTGGTTGATCAGTAGATCTGGTAGATCGGTAGATCTGGTTGATCGGTAGATCTGGTAGATCAGTAGATCTGGTTGATCGGTAGATCTGGTTGATCGGTAGATCTGGTTGATCGGTAGATGTGGCTGATCGGTAGATCTGGTTGATCAGTAGATCGGTATATCTGGTTGATCAGTAGATCTGGTTGATCAGTAGATCTGGTAGATCGGTAGATCTGGTAGATCGGTAGATCTGGTTGATCAGTAGATCGGTAGATCTGGTTGATCAGTAGAACGGTAGATCTGGTAGATCGATAGATCTGGTTGATCAGTAGATCAGTAGATCTGGTAGATCGATAGATCTGGTGGATCGGTAGATCTGGTTGATCAGTAGATCGGTAGATCTGGTTGATCGGTAGATCGGTAGATCAGTAGATCTGGTTGATCAGTAGATCTGGTGGATCGGTAGATCTGGTGGATCGGTAGATCTGGTTGATCAGTAGATCGGTAGATCTGGTTGATCGATAGATCTGGTGGATCGGTAGATCTGGTTGATCAGTAGATCGGTAGATCAGGTTGATCAGTAGATCGGTAGATCTGGTAGATCTGGTTGATCGTTAGATCTGGTTGATCGGTAGATCTGGTTGATCGGTAGATCTGGTTGATCGATAGATCTGGTTGATCAGTAGATCGGTAGATCTGGTAGATCTGGTTGATCAGTAGATCTGGTTGATCAGTAGATCTGGTTGATCAGTAGATTGGTAGATCTGGTTGATCAGTAGATTGGTAGATCTGGTTGATCGGTAGATCTGGTTGATCAGTAGATCTGGTTGATCGGTAGATCTGGTGGATCGGTAGATCTGGTGGATCGGTAGATCTGGTGGATCGGTAGATCTGGTTGATCAGTAGATCGGTAGATCTGGTTGATCAGTAGATCGGTAGATCTGGTTGATCGGTAGATCTGGTTGATCAGTAGATCGGTATATCTGGTTGATCAGTAGATCTGGTAGATCGGTAGATCTGGTTGATCGGTAGATCTGGTTGATCGGTAGATCTGGTAGATCTGGTTGATCGGTACATTTGGTTGATCGGTAGATCTGGTAGATCGGTAGATCTGGCTGATCGGTAGATCTGGTTGATCAGTAGATCGGTATATCTGGTTGATCAGAAGATCTGGTTGATCAGTAGATCTGGTAGATCGGTAGATCTGGTAGATCGGTAGATGTGGTTGATCAGTAGATCTGGTTGATCAGTAGATCGGTAGATCTGGTTGATCGGTAGATCAGTAGATCTGGTTGATCAGTAGATCGGAAGGATCTGGTTGATCAGTAGATCGGTAGATCTGGTTGATCAGTAGATCGGTAGATCTGGTAGATCTGGTTGATCGGTAGATCTGGTAGATCAGTAGATCGGTATATCTGGTTGATCGGTAGATCTGGTTGATCAGTAGATCTGGTGGATCGGTAGATCTGGTGGATCGGTAGATCTGGTTGATCAGTAGATCGGTAGATCTGGTTGATCGATAGATCTGGTGGATCGGTAGATCTGGTTGATCGGTAGATCTGGTAGATCTGGTTGATCGGTAGATCTGGTTGATCGGTAGATCTGGTTGATCGATAGATCTGGTTGATCAGTAGATCGGTAGATCTGGTAGATCTGGTTGATCAGTAGATCTGGTTGATCAGTAGATTGGTAGATGTGGTTGATCGGTAGATTGGTAGATGTGGTTGATCGGTAGATCTGGTTGATCAGTAGATTGGTAGATCTGGTTGATCGATAGATCTGGTCCTTCCAGGACTGTGGGGTCTAAAGGACGTTTACTTCTTCCTGACTGGTCCGTGTTTTAGAACATCCAGCAAAGGGAAGCATTTGTCAGACGGTCTGACTAACCAGTCAGGCGCTGTTGGCTGTGATCAGCTGCAGGTCTGATGTTCTTCACTTAGTGAGGCAGGTTTCAGGTCTGGACGTGAAGAACCTCCCTCTGTTCTCTCTGACTAATGATCTCATGGGTCTGATGTTCCTGACCACCCCCCCACGCCGCTGAATCCTCTCTCCTGATCTGCAGCCTCTGGTTTTGAGGGACTGGGAACTCCAGGTTCACTTTAAAATCCACGGCAGCGGGAAGAAGAACCTGAACGGGGACGGACTGGCCATCTGGCTCACCAGAGACCGCATGCAGAATGGTAGGTGGAATGCATGGAGGAGGGGGATGGTGATCAGGGAATCAGACCTCCTATAGATCAGTCGGTTTCAGTTCGTTCTTCATCACTCCTCCTCCTCCTTCCTCTCTTTGCTCTTCTTCAACTCTGGCAGGTCCAGTTTTCGGGAACATGAACCAGTTTGTTGGACTGGGAGTATTTGTGGACACCTACCCAAACGCAGTGAAGACTCATGATGTGAGTAGAAACCCATCGTCCAACTGCAGGCGGCCTTCTGCTGGTTTAGATCTAAGGTGAAGGTTTAGAAGTCGATGCCGGTCCGGTGCCGGTCCAGTGCCGGTCTAGTGACCCTCTGGTGGGATGTGGTGCTGGTTGAGTCAAGTGCTGGCTTAGCTGGTGCCAGTCTGATGCTGGTCTGCGGGGCCTTGTCTCTGAGGGAGGTGACTCCAGTGTCTCTCTTGCAGAGGAGTTTCCCGTACGTCTCGGTGATGCTGGGAAACGGGACGCTGTCGTACGACCACGATCTCGACGGACGGTCCACGGAGCTGGGAGGATGCTCCGCCATGACGCGTAACTCCGTCTACGACACCTCCCTGCTGCTGCGATACTCCAAGAACACGCTGACGGTATGAACCGGCTGCATTATGGGGTGTCTGGTTTCGAGGCACCTTAACCTCCAAGGAATAGTTTAAATTATTTACGGCCTATAAAGCGCTTCAAAGCAGGGCTGGAAAACAACAGCTCAGGTTGGTCAGTGTGCATCAAAGAAGAGAAAACACTAAATATCACTGAAGCCCTTTAGGTGGTCGTCACACAGAGCTGGTAAATTCAGCTTGGTTAAAAGCAGAACTCACAAATACTCAATACTAATTGAAATTTCTGTAAATACACATTAAAATGAATTCAACACACTGTAGTAAATAGATAAATGGAAGCAGAAGATCAATGCTTACATTCAGCAGGTCTCATTCACAACACCTGTCCCATCACGAAGGGATCAGAATAAAAAATACTTTAATAATCCCAGAGAAATTACTTTCGTTAATGACCATCTGTAATAGAGTGACTATAGGACCAGTTTGATAGAACACTATTTCATACAGTATATATAATTAGGGGGTCCCCCCTCCATCTCTCCATCAGTTTGGGGTCCTTGGCCTAAAAAACGTTGAAGACTCCTGCTCTACAGGATATGAATATTTATTTACATCTGTTCAGAGACTATGTATGCATGGACTATAAATGCTTTATATAAACAGAGAGTAATTGCAAGAAGCTATAAAATAAATAAATATGGAAGCTATATACAGATTATACAGGAAAGTTAGGATATGGACGCTCTCTGCCTTGGTGCTTTCTGCCTTGACGCTCTCTGCCTTGATGCTCTCTGCCTTGATGCTCTCTGCCTTGGCGCTCTCTGCCTTGATGCTCTCTGCCTTGGCGCTCTTTGCCTTTGCGCTCTCTGCCTTGGCGCTCTTTGCCTTTGCGCTCTTTGCCTTTGCGCTCTCTGCCTTGGCGCTCTCTGCCTTGGCGCTCTTTGCCTTTGCGCTCTCTGCCTTGGCGCTCTTTGCCTTGGCGCTCTCTGCCTTGGCGCTCTTTGCCTTGGCGCTCTCTGCCTTGGCGCTCTCTGCCTTGATGCTCTCTGCCTTGGCGCTCTTTGCCTTGATGCTCTCTGCCTTGGTGCTCTCTGCCTTGGCGCTCTTTGCCTTGATGCTCTCTGCCTTGGCGCTCTCTGCCTTGATGCTCTCTGCCTTGGTGCTCTCTCCTTGGCGCTCTCTTCCTTGGCGCTCTCTGCCTTAGTGCTCTCTTCCTTGGCGCTCTCTTCCTTGGCGCTCTCTGCCTTAGTGCTCTCTCCTTGGTGCTCTCTGCCTTAGTGCTCTCTCCTTGGCGCTCTCTGCCTTAGTGCTCTCTCCTTGGTGCTCTCTGCCTTAGTGCTCTCTGCCTTAGTGCTCTCTCCTTGGCACTCTCTGCCTTAGTGCTCTCTCCTTGGTGCTCTCTGCCTTAGTGCTCTCTCCTTGGCGCTCTCTGCCTTGGCGCTCTCTGCCTTGGCGCTCTTTGCCTTAGTGCTCTCTCCTTGGCGCTCTTTGCCTTAGTGCTCTCTCCTTGGTGCCCTCTGCCTTGGCGCTCTCTGCCTTGGCGCTCTTTGCCTTAGTGCTCTCTCCTTGGCGCTCTTTGCCTTAGTGCTCTCTCCTTGGTGCTCTCTGCCTTGGCGCTCTCTGCCTTGGCGCTCTCTGCCTTGGCGCTCTCTGCCTTAGTGCTCTCTCCTTGGCGCTCTCTGCCTTAGTGCTCTCTCCTTGGCGCTCTCTGCCTTGGCGCTCTTTGCCTTAGTGCTCTCTCCTTGGCGCTCTTTGCCTTAGTGCTCTCTCCTTGGTGCTCTCTGCCTTGGCGCTCTCTGCCTTGGCGCTCTCTGCCTTGGCGCTCTTTGCCTTAGTGCTCTCTCCTTGGCGCTCTTTGCCTTAGTGCTCTCTCCTTGGCGCTCTTTGCCTTAGTGCTCTCTCCTTGGCGCTCTCTGCCTTGGCGCTCTCTGCCTTGGCGCTCTTTGCCTTAGTGCTCTCTGCCTTGGCGCTCTTTGCCTTAGTGCTCTCTGCCTTAGTGCTCTCTGCCTTAGTGCTCTCTGCCTTAGTGCTCTCTCCTTGGCGCTCTCTGCCTTAGTGCTCTCTCCTTGGTGCTCTCTGCCTTGGCACTCTCTGCCTTGGCGCTCTTTGCCTTAGTGCTCTCTCCTTGGTGCTCTTTGCCTCAGTGCTCTCTCCTTGGCGCTCTCTGCCGTGACGCTTTCTGCCTTAGTGCTCTCTCCTTGGCGCTCTCTGCCTTGATGCTCTCTGCCTTGGCGCTCTTTGCCTTGGCGCTCTCTGCCTTGGCGCTCTCTGCCTTGATGCTCTTTGCCTTGGCGCTCTCTGCCTTGATGCTCTCTGCCTTAGTGCTCTCTCCTTGGCGCTCTCTGCCTTGATGCTCTCTCCTTGGCGCTCTCTGCCTTGATGCTCTCTGCCTTGGTGCTCTCTGCCTTAGTGCTCTCTCCTTGGCGCTCTCTGCCTTGATGCTCTCTGCCTTGGCGCTCTTTGCCTTGGCGCTCTCTGCCTTGGCGCTCTCTGCCTTGATGCTCTCTGCCTTGATGCTCTCTGCCTTGATGCTCTCTGCCTTGATGCTCTCTGCCTTGATGCTCTCTGCCTTGGCGCTCTCTGCCTTGATGCTCTCTGCCTTGATGCTCTCTGCCTTGATGCTCTCTGCCTTGGCGCTCTCTGCCTTGATGCTCTCTGCCTTGGCGCTCTCTGCCTTGGTGCTCTCTCCTTGGCGCTCTGTGACTTGGCGCTCTCTGCCTTAGTGCTCTCTCCTTGGCGCTCTCTGCCTTGGCGCTTTCTGCCTTAGTGCTCTCTCCTTGACGCTCTCTGCCTTGGCGCTCTGCCTTGGCACTCTCTCCTTGATGCTCTCTCCTTGGCGCTCTCTGCCTTGATGCTCTTTGCCTTGGCGCTCTCTGCCTTGATGCTCTCTGCCTTGGCGCTCTCTGCCTTGGTGCTCTCTCCTTGGCGCTCTGTGCCTTGGCGCGCTCTGCCTTGGCGCTCTCTCCTTGGCGCTCTCTGCCATGACGCTTTCTGCCTTAGTGCTCTCTCCTTGGCGCTCTCTGCCTTGATGCTCTCTGCCTTGGCGCTCTCTGCCTTGGTGCTCTCTCCTTGGCGCTCTGTGCCTTGGCGCGCTCTGCCTTGGCGCTCTCTCCTTGGCGCTCTCTGCCGTGACGCTTTCTGCCTTGGCGCTCTCTCCTTGACGCTCTCTCCTTGATGCTCTCTGCCTTGGCGCTCTCTGCCTTGGCGCTCTCTCCTTGACGCTCTCTCCTTGATGCTCTCTCCTTGGCGCTCTCTGCCTTGGCGCTTTCTGCCTTAGTGCTCTATCCTTGGCGCTCTCTGCCTTGGCGCTTTCTGCCTTAGTGCTCTCTCCTTGGCGCTCTCTGCCTTGGCGCTTTCTGCCTTAGTGCTCTCTCCTTGGCACTCTCTGCCTTGGCGCTTTCTGCCTTAGTGCTCTCTCCTTGGCGCTCTCTGCCTTGGCGCTTTCTGCCTTAGTGCTCTCTCCCTGGCGCTCTCTGCCTTGGCGCTTTCTGCCTTAGTGCTCTCTCCTTGGCGCTCTCTGCCTTGGCGCTCTCTGCCTTGGCGCTCTCTGCCTTGGCGCTTTCTGCCTTAGTGCTCTTTCCTTGGCGCTCTCTCCTTGATGCTCTCTCCTTGACGCTCTCTCCTTGGCGCTCTCTGCCTTGGCGCTCTCTGCCTTGGTACCCTCTGCCTCGGTGCTCTGCCTTGGCGCTCTCTGCCTTTGCGCTCTCTGCCATGATGCTCTCTCCCATGATGCTCTCTCCCATGATGCTCTCTGCCATGATGCTCTCTGCCATGCAGCTCCTGGTGGATGTGGACGGCAAACAGGAATGGAGAGACTGTGCTGAAGTCAGCGGGCTCCGCCTGCCAGCAGGGTACTACTTTGGAGCTTCCTCTGCTACCGGAGACCTGTCAGGTGAAAACATCCACACAGCACGGAGGACGGCCTCTCAGCCGTTTGAATTCAATTAGGCTGCATAGGAACTGCCCAAAATTCAGCTGCAGGCTACAGATAAGCATAAACTCAGCTCCCATTGGATGAGATGAATGATCAAACACATCCGCAGTTTCAGCTGACTCTGGTTCTAGAAGCTTCCAGAATAAAGATCATTAACCTAAACCATCAGAGCTAAACGTCCATAAAACAAATGAAAACTTTAATTAGGAAAAGCGCAGAAAAGAAAGCAGCGTTAAATGTTTGTCTCCTTTACCAGATAACCATGACATCATCTCAATGAAGGTCTACCAGCTGACTGTGGAGCGGACTCCAGAGGAGGAGGAGGAGGATGAAGAGGTGGTGTCCATGCCGCGGGTGGACAACATGAAGCAGTTTGAAGGTAGAAGCAGCTCCACTTTTGGGCCCCGTAGAAGAGGCCCTCACTGAGATGCTCTGTCCTCTGTCTTCCAGTGGACGTGGAGGATGAAGGAATGAGTGGAGTCCAGTTCTTCTTCACGCTGCTGTTCTCCATCCTGGGCCTCGGCGTTCTGGCGGTGGTGGGTCTGGTGCTCTACAGCCGCTGGAAGGAAAACAAACGCAAACGCTTCTACTGAGGAGGCTCCTCCATCACCATTACAACCACTGATGAACAGAACCAACCAGAACTCTCCTCACCAGCAGGGGGCGGCTGCGTTCAGATCAGGTGTCTCTGATTGGACAGTTGCGTCTGTGGCGCTGGAAGATAATCTAAAGAATTAGTTTTCTAGAAGCAGCCAACTGCAGTCTGATGACCTTATTGCTGCTAAATGAGCAAACTGAGTCCCTGTGAGACCCCCCACCCCCACCTATAGCCATTCAATCAGTAACTGTGAAGTGATTTACTCTGCTAGCTGCTCCTACTTTCTCTCTGAGGTTTCCTCCAGTTTACCTCAGACTGTTGCACTGATATAGACCCACCGCCTGTTGGACCTCAGGGATTAAAGGCTGGTTCTGTGCCTGGTTCTGACTGGACCCGGTCTGACCTGCCTGGTTCTGACCCACAAACACCCGACCCTGAATGACCCGTAGCCTTTTAACTTTCTAATTGTTTACATCAGAGATCAGATGAGTTTCCAGCCGGGAGCTTCTACAGACCTCTGACTTCAGCAGGGTGAGGGCGCTGACCATCATCGTCATCCTCTTTGACCATCATCGTCATCCTCTCTCTGAGCATCATCGTCATCCTCTCTGAGCATCATCGTCATCCTCTCTGACCATCATCGTCATCCTCTCTGACCATCATCGTCTTCCTCTCTGAGCATCATCGTCATCCTCTCTGACCATCATCGTCTTCCTCTCTGAGCATCATCGTCATCCTCTCTGACCATCATCGTCTTCCTCTCTGACCATCATCGTCTTCCTCTCTGACCATCATCGTCTTCCTCTCTGACCATCCGTGGAGTCTTCTAAACTAAGCAGGGCTTCCAGCCTCCAATAATACTTCAGAACTGTCTGAGGCTATTGCCATGGTTGCATCTGATTGGTTGACGTTTATCATGTGATCCTATGAATGATTCTGGACCTGTAATTACCAGCAGCAGTCATTGGTCAGTTTACCTGCTGTTCCTCCCTGTTTGATCCTCAGGTCTTTCTGTTTTGTTTCCTAACTGATAGCTAGCGGATGCTAATGTTGCTAATTCTTCTAACTTTTCTATGCAGATGCTCCAGTTTAGCATTAGTCAGACTTTAGATACGAGCCGATCATCGAGTAAAAGACCTGTTGGTAAAATGTTGAACTATTTCAGGAAAACTGTGATAAATGTGATCCGAGGGGAGAATGTTCTCCAGTCCTCATTCTATTAAAGTTTCTGTTCTTCTGTTTGCTTCCATCCAGTTCATTAGTTCTCATTTAGTATTCAAACCCACAGCAGACATTGAAATAGAACAAATAGAACAAGCTACTTGGTCCCAATGGAATTTCCCATTGGGAACCTGCTAGCACTAAGTTGCTAACTGTAGCTACCAGATCTGCTTCCTGCCGGTGACGTTAGGCTACATGATTGGATGAACGTTACCTTATGATGTGAAACATTGTGGTTGCCCGGACAACAATAATAACAATGCAGCGTCCGTGTGCAGAGTCGGGAGCATCTGTAGCGTTAGCGTGTCTAATGGCCGATGAAGTTTTACTTGATCGATAACAAAACTGAAAAAAAAAATCTGTTTCTGGTGAACAAAGTAACTGTTAGACTATGATATAAAGAGCTGGGTACCGCTGTGGCTAGCTGCGCTCAGTAGCTAACAGGTTAGCCTGTTTAGCTCGGTCAGTTAGCCATATAAAGCTACACTACTTCTGAATTTGGATCAACAACAACCTTTCGTTTTCTACAAGTAGAATAACTGCTATATTTAATCCGTATGAAAGTCATCTTTAAGATGCTCCATTTGTCCTCCTCTGCCCTCAGATCTTAATAAAAAGAATAAAAATAGACTTTTAGCGTCTCCTTGTGAAATAGCAGAGCTCAGTCTGTCTTAGAGCGCAGGACTTTCCTTCCAGACTGACAATGATTGTTTTCTACTTTCAGCTACTTTAGATCGCCAATTAAATGTAGAATAATGGCAAATATAGCTAATAATAAGTTGAGACTCTGAAACAGATTTGATCGTTAAGAAACGGGAACTCCACCTCTACCTGAATGAGACGATGACTGGCGCTACTGAGCTGAGACCATCAGGACCACTGATCTCTATTCCCTGGATTGCTGACCATTGGTAGAACAGGGTGGAGTAAAGCCACTGGCCGCCATATTGGTACTCCCTAGTTAGACCTAGTAGTTAATTGATGCGCTGCAGCTTCGAACAACCAGGATGTTCTCATTTTCAGGGGGAAATAAGACTTAAAATAAAGATAAATTCATCACTTTGTCACAGACTGGCTGTTTCATAGCATCAGTGGATTAGTTATAAAAATCGGTCTATCACATTGCATAGTCATTACATCTTACATATAATTAGAATATTTCACCTCAGGACTGAATTACCCGTCCCTGTCTGTTAATGCTGTAGTATTTTCCTGTCTGCAGATGAATGAAGCCGTATACTTTATGCTGTGTCTGAGCATTAGTCTTTAAAAAATGTTTGACTTGCTTTTCTTCCATCAATATAACCTGCAACATATTTCAGCTCATGACTTTTTAAAAGAGAAATAAACCAAACGCTCCAAAAACGACATCATCATCCACTGAATAAAGAATGACTGCATTAACATTTCACAGTGAATGACTTTCTATTTCCTCTACTTTCTATTTTCTAACGTTAGACCCAATGTCAGTGGCTAACTCAGTCAATGTCTTCCAGTCAGTCTGAGATAGCCAGACTCACTCACTGAAACCTCAGATTGTTGATATGGTAGGGGGACCAGACATCCTCTTTTTCCCAGACATGTCCTACTTTTCATAACTAAAAAAAATGTCTGGGGGGGAATTTCAAAATCGTCCGGGATTTTGTTCGACTACAGTGCCGCCCGCAGAACTTCCAGGAGACATGGGTTGTCTGTTACCGTCCACCAGCCCCCCTCCTCTGGCTGAGGTGCGGTCCAGTCAGCGGCCCAGCGGTCCACACCTCATAACCAATTACAATAGTCCAGCCTTGAAGTAACAAATGCATGAACTAGTTTCTCAGCATCACCCCTGGACAGGAGATTGCTAATTTTTGCAAAATTCCAAACAAAGGCGACCAAATGAAGGCGGCCAAATGAAGGCGGCCAAATGAAGGCGGCCAAATGAAGGCGACCAAATGAAGGCGGCCAAATGAAGGCGGCCAAATGAAGGCGGCCAAACGAAGGCGGCCAAACGAAGGCGGCCAAACGAAGGCGGCCAAACGAAGGCGGCCAAACGAAGGCGACCAAACGAAGGCGGCCAAACGAAGGCGGCCAAACGAAGGCGACCAAACGAAGGCGACCAAACGAAGGCGGCCAAACGAAGGCGACCAAACGAAGGCGGCCAAACGAAGGCGGCCAAACGAAGGCGACCAAACGAAGGCGGCCAAACGAAGGCGGCCAAACGAAGGCGGCCAAACGAAGGCGACCAAACGAAGGCGGCCAAACGAAGGCGGCCAAATGAAGGCGACCAAATGAAGGCGGCCAAATGAAGGCGGCCAAATGAAGGCGGCCAGGCGTGAGCAGCCAAAGGATCCCAGCCTAACACTAAGAAGCTGCTGTCCACCAGTACTGTCTGATCTCCTCCACTGATCCATGGAAGGAAGTCACTGATGTCATTGATGATTATCTCTTAATTTTGGGATCAGTTTAGTGTTTTTGAGCTGAACTAGATGGAGAACTGCTGTTTTGGAGAAGCTGTCTTCCTGCTGTAGTTGGATCAGGAGGAGCTGGAGGATGAAGTAGACACCTGGTCAGACAACATGAGCCAGAAGGAAGAACAACACCTGTAACTTCTAACCGGTTTCCATCTTTTTCTCCTTGAAGCATCAGGGGAGAACGACTCTGAATGCTTCTTCTTTCACCTTTTTTCTCAGAACCTTTCCTCTTTAATCTATAGAAATGTCATCCTGGGATGTGGGGACCTGGAAGCTCTAGAATCGATTTCTTTCCGTTATTCTAGTTTTGTAAATCACTCATTTCTATGAAGGCTGTTGAAGGAATCGTCCGAGCCTCTCTGGATTTCACAGGTTGTCATGTGTTCAGTATCTCAGCCCTGCTGCAGGTTGGCCTTCCAGCGGGGGGGCACGCCTCCACCTCCTCTTTGTTGCTTCTGTAAATACTGGATTGATAAAGCCTTTAGCCCGTCCCTCTGCCATTCCTGCCTGCTCTCAGTCTCTGAGGAATGCTGCAGACTGGAGCCACTTGGACGCCGGCGGATCATTCCCTGTAGTTCAGGTAAGCTCTGACACACTTGGATAAATCATAAACGCAGACATTATTCTAACAAAACTCGGCTCATCCCAGCATCAAACATCTTGATGTCCAGGACGAGAAAAAGAAAGTCCACATTCTCAAACTTCCAATCATTTCCTGTAATGTTGGCGAGTTGGAAAACAAGATAAATCTGGAAGCAGCTTCTAGCAGATACAAGCTTGTAACAAACAGCGGCTCTGTTGATAAGAAGGGATAATAATGATTAACACCTCGGCCCTCAGAGCCATCCGCTGTTGTCACACCAAACAGACGCTCTGCTGAGACGACTTTATTTTCCCTCCAGATCTCCCAGAGCAGCAGATCAGGAAGGATGAACAGCTCCTGTGTCGGCTGCCTGAAGAGCCTGGTGGTGTCTCTGCACTTCCTGTGCTGGGTAAGGGGGGGGGGGGGGGGGGGGGGGGGGGGGGGGTAAAGCAGAGGACAGACCATCATGATGTCATAGAGAGAGGAGAAGCTCTGTCACCCAAATAAATACCAGTTAACTTTGTTTTTCAAAGTTTGGCTGGTTTCTGATGATCAACGGCTGCAGATGGTTTATTTTACAGAGCAAAGCGGAGCTAACCAGCAGGTTAAAGGCTCCCAGCTACACTTTCACCGCCGGCGTCACTTTCCATCAACGTTCGTTAAAGGAAAAGTCGCTCATATTCAGAATTCAAACTTCTGAAAGTTCTTTAAATCTGAAATGATTCCATCCTGTTCAATAAATGATCCGTGTTTTTAATTCAGTCATTTTCATGTGAATGTGCTTTACTGGAGGCATCCATGTTTCTCAAAGAACACTACTGCCACCTACTGGTTAGTGACGTCACGGTGCGGTATCGGCTGTTGATCAAGTCCCAGTGCTGTATCTGGTGTTTGTCACAACGCGCTATTATCCAAGTCATCTTGAAAACATTCTTCTTCCAAATGTTGGCTACATATTACGGGTTTTTTCTCTGGCCAGAAGTTCGATGGCAAATCCTCCCTCTTCAAGTTGGCGATCCAACGACCAACCCGTCCGTGGAGGATCAGGAATCAGAAAGGTGGAATAACTCTTTTTTTCACTTTTACCCGATGTATTCCAGCATCCAGCTGCCATGCACGTGGGCATTGTCAGTTTCACTATAGCTCAGGTGAATTTCAATGGTGAAGTCCTCTGGAAATCTTCAATAATTGTTGTTGATTGCAGATGTGTCTAGTAGTTCCCATTGATTTAGCTTGGAAAGCGGGGAGAATGGCGCTAGGCTTACCGCACCGTGACGTCACTGCTGGAAGATGGCAGGAGGGAGGGGCTACTATACTTGGGCTAAAATGGCCGCTCCCAGACTCAGTGATTGGGACGAAAATGATTGTTTTTACTTTTTTACTGATTAACATAAAATTCATTAAATCACCGCCAACGATTACTTTTAGGTATAAATAATTATCTATTGATTATTCATTAATGACCTGACTTTTCATTTAATCCAATAAAAAATAATTAATGAAATTATCTGTTTGATTTTAGGACCATTTTAAAAACGATCAAGTTAATTAATTAATGACACATCAGAGAGATTCTTTTCTTCTTCTGGAGTCGAATTGATCAGTTTTGCTCTGAAATGATCAAAATCAATAAAGAAACTTGCATCATGTTTTATTTTCTTACTAATAAAGGAAGCGTTTTATTTATAAAGCTTCTCTGTAACAAAGAGCTTCAGTTTCAGAGCAGCTGCTGTTAGAGTGAATCATTTATCAGCTCAGGGCTGCAAACGTCCCGCATTAAACCAATATAGAACACGATAGATCCTGGGAGGAATGTCCAGACAGGAAGTGTCCGATTTGTTTTCCTGAAGCTGGTGACGTCATTCAGTGCAGAAAGGAGAAGGAATGAATGAAACTTAAATCTCTGAAAGCATCATGGCGTCTAACCTGCTGCGTCTCCTGGTCTTGGAGTTGTGTGGAGCCTTCGTGGTGGCCTTCGGGGAGTTCCAGATGATGCACTCCAGGTTCGCCTCCCTCATCACCACCTTCTGGCCGATCTACGCCTCCAACACGCTGGTCGTGACCGGCACCATCGTCACCTGTGTGTGCTACCTGGGAGTTCTGGGGGGCATGAGGGAGAACCGCTGCATGCTGATCATGGTGAGTTCCTGCCTGATGTTTGCTGAAAGAGCCGAACGGCATCAAACTGATCCGGCTCTGTGTGTTCCAGTTCTACGTTCTGCTCTTCCTCCTCATGCTGGTGGAGCTGGCCATGGCCTGCGTCTTCTTCGTCTACGGCAGGGAGGTAGGAAGCTGCAGCTGATGGTTCCTCCTTTGGAAGTGATTGTTGACCTCCACCCAGAGGGGGGCGCCAGGAAGAACATAATGAAGTCCAGTTAGTGGTGTAAAAAGTTACACGGCTCATCGACTGCAGCTGCTGCAGCTTAAGATTACGTCTAGAATCATGTTTTAAAAAGGCAGCTTATGTTCCTTAGATTAGCCGAGTTCCTGAACCTCCACAGCATCTCTGCGTGTTCCTGATGCTAACGGCTAACTGCTAGCTCTGCAGGGGGATGCTGCTGCCTTTCTCTAGCTGCTGCATGGC